TTCATTCAGAAGCTAAAACGGAGATTTTTAGAAAGAAATTCGATAATCTGATAATGATTTCAGAAAAATTATCGTCTTTAACATAGATTAGGTATGCCAATCCCTGAATTTTTAAAGATTGGGAATTCCGGTGCTCATCCAAAAGAAACGCGGGAAATTTTAAACGCACAAAATCCCAGAATTTAAATTTTTTCTTAAGCAATATGTATACACGGTTGTCAGATCTTACAACGTTGATAAATGTGGCAATGTACTGACAATGAAATGTCAATTTACAAATTTTGTCTTGCAACATTTGTCAGTAATGCTTTTTCTGCAAAAGAAAAATTGCAAGTTCACACGATTGTTAGACATTTTCTGCACATTTTACTGACAACGTTGTAAGATCTGACAGCCGTGTATCACAGCTTTAAGACAATTGTCAGAGAATAAATTTATCTGCCAACAAAAATTATCAGTTGACACTGTTGTCAGATGGTGTTGTATGGAAAAAGTTGCCGGATCTTATTGTAGCTGCATATGTTCTTTTAATGCACCGTGTTGTCAATAGAAAACATTAATCTGATGCATAAAATTCGCACATCTGACAGTAAAAATTGTCAGAAAATTATCTGACATGGCAACGTCATGTGTTTACACAATTGTAAGATGTCTGACAATATTATTGTTTTGCAATATACTGACAATGCTTTTTCTAACAACGTTGCAAGACAAAAGGTTAGGTTAGGTTAGGTTGATAGGAGGATGTATACTACATCAAATCCGAAGAAATACACCTAGGCCACTATCGGGCCTGTTGTGCGCTCCAATTCAAGAAAAAGAAAAAAAAAAAAAAAAATAAAAAAAAAAAAAAAAAAAAAAAAAAAAAAATTGTTTACTGAATGTTCAGAAACTCAGTTTCCTGGACGTAATTCCTAAGAATCTTCCAATCGGTGTTGGTTAAGAATGTTATTTCCGGAATAACATCACTTCCAAGATACTTGGATCTAACTTCGACGAATGCCTGACAATGGCAAAGAAAGTGCTCCAGAGTTTCACTGTCCTCTCCACATGCTCTACATTCGTCTGAATTCGCACGTCCAATTTTGTATAGATGTGCTCGTAATCCTGTGTGTCCACTGAGAATACGTACCATCATACTAACCTCAGACTTGCTCATTTTGAGAAGATTTCTCGTCTGCAAGACAAAAACAAGTAAGAAATAATAATCGGGCGCGGCCGACCATATAATACTCTACACCTTTGACAAAAATATAATGTCTTGTATAGAACTTGGTTTTTGCAGCTTTTTGTCGAGATATGAGTATATTAAACATAATTATGAACTTAAAAGCCCTATTCGACTGGTTCAGTTGTATGGGGGCTAGGTGAAATAATGGACCGATGTAAACCATTTTCGTTTACGGTACCATAAAAGATCAAGTGCCAAATTTCATTGAATTATCTCCAAAATTGCCTGTAGTTTGATTACAAACTTTAAAAGCCCTATTCGGGGGGTTCAGTCGTATGGGGGCTAGGTGAAATAATGGACCGATGTTAACCATTTTCAATAGACTTTGTCTACGGTACTATAGAACATCATGTGCCAAATTTCATTGAATTATCTCCAAAATTGCGACCTGTAGTTTGATTACAAAGTTTAAAAGCCCTATTCGGGGGTTCAGTTGTATGGGGGCTAGGTGAAATAATGGACCGATGTTTCAATAGGCTTCGTCCCTGAGACAATAGAAAATCATGTACCAAATTTCATTCAATTATCTTCAAAATTGCGACCTGTAGTTTGATTACAAGGTTTACATGGACGGATGGACGGACATAGCTAAATCCACTCAGAAAATGATTCTGATTCTGAATGATTCCCCACTGAAGTGGTGTAGGGTATAATTATAAGTTCACACTGTTGTTAGACTCTCTGAACATTTTTCCAGCCAACGTAATAAGAATTGGCAAGCATGTATACATAGTTTTAGTCATTTTTTGAACATTTTTCTGCAAACATTGTAAGATCTGATCAATCATGTATATATGACTTAACTTTCATAGAAATTAGCAAATTCACAAATATGTTCGCTGGGTAAGTACGCACATACATTTACACATACATACATATGTATATGTTTGTATGTATTAAAAAAACTTTATTGTTTTCACGTAGCAACTATTTTAGTTCGCATCAGTGATGAAATTATAGTTTCTTTTTAATAATATGCATACGAGAATCATAAAAGTTCTGATGAAATTATTTTCTTTTTTCGCAAATCCGAATTTCTGTATTACGTACGCTTCTAAGGTTTAATAGGGAAATGCAAATACCTACAATATGCATTCTTGTAAACTGTCATTAAAAACTATTCAAATTAAAACAAGGCCGAACATATGATACCCTACACCAGAAAGTACATAGGTTTTAAAATTTTATTTTTATATAATGAAGCATCCACTTTAGTGGGGAGGGTAAATTGGATTTATGCTGATGTTTGTAAAGCATAGAATAAATGGTCCTATACCTACCTTTAAATATCCCAGCAGTTCGGTCGGACAGTCCCGAACTCTCTATTTAACCTACCACATAGGGTTACACCTAGTCACCAACTGTCCAGGTGACTAGCTATTTTAACATGTACTTGCCCTACGAGGAAGTCAATCGCCACCCCATAGGTTACGAAGAGGCAGACAAGTGCTTTTTAAGTGTCCCCTCTCTCTCTTACAAAGGGGACACCAAAGTGACGATTATCTTCACCCTCGTTTACAAAGAGTACATCCGTGACGAAAGACAAATTAAAGCCAACCAGGTGGCTAGACGTTAGTGGAAATCAATGTCTTCTTCGTATGCATTGACTCATTGTCGAACTGCAGGGATACCAATCGGCTCAGAATCATTTTCTGAGTCGATTAAGTAATGAGCGTCGTTGATTCCCTTATAAACACGTGTATTTTAATGAAATTTGGCATAATTAACTTTAATGCCAACAAAAATGCCTTCACAAAATTTTATTAGGATCGGTACATAATTGACGCTAGCCCCCATATATAGCAATCCATCAGAAAATGATTTTTTTATGAAAAATATATCGAAATTAAGGACAAATTCAACATAAATGGTCATATGGTCTGCCACGCCCGACTATACTTTTTTACTTGTTTACCTTAATTCCAAATTATTTTTTATAGCAAAAAAGTGGTTTTCTGAAACAGGGGTTATATGGGGACTACCGTTATATATGGGCCTATCCACATAACATTTGTTAGAGCGATTTACGTTAACATAAAAGTTATTTATGCAGTTTTTCATCGTAATACTATTGTTATTAAGTGAACTTTCATGTCATTTTCTAAAGGCGACTTTGTATGGGGTCTAAGGTAAAATGAGGCCTGATTATTATGAAAATTGGCAGTGTCATTTAGACTTATATGAAACTAAGTTGTTATATGGTGCCAAGTTATGGACCGATTTCAACCATTTTCAATAGACTTTGACCTTGGATCAAGAGAAGCGTACGCACAAGGTTTACATTGACAGACAGATGGATATGGCTTAACCGACCCATCAACTGATCCTGAGCCGATTGGAATGCTTTAAGTTAGGTGTAGGACCAATATTTTTGAGTGTTTCAAACATCAGCACAAACGCATAATACCCTCCCCACTTTAGTGATGTTGTGATAAAAACCTAAATTATTTTGGTAGTTAGTGCCTAAACACAAACATTAGGCTATGGTGAAACTTAAACACCCTCCACCTGTAAGCTACTTTTTATAAAACCACATTTAATAACGAAATTTTAAATTTTGGATGTCCTTATATACTTATGTGAGATTATTTGGCTTTCGAAAGTGCGGGATTAAGTGACTTTCGAAAATGATTAATTAGGGATTGATCCGGAAAAAAATCGCAATTTTTTTTTCCTTCATACAAACTTGAATCACTTTAATATACATACAGAACATATTGGATTCGAATTTTATTCAGATATGCTCATTTCTTAGTTAGTTAGGTACATTTAACTGATTTTCGGAAGTAGACCTTATATGAGATATTATCCGATACGGAACTAGGTTGCTAATATGATTTCTTTTGGAGATACCGATTTTTTACAAATCTATTTCCGATGCTATGGAAAATTTTGGATTGGTTGTTATGATTTTGAACATAATTGATCCCTGGGCGAAAATAATAACGTGTAACAAAATTCTTCCAATTATCTTTAGTAGTTTCGGAGAAAACTTATCAATAATTAGGAGAAAACTTAATTTTTGGGAGAAGTCTGAAATTTTTACTCACAACTTTTGTGAACCGATTTTGCGATATTCTATACCAAACAGCTTAAGATAACAATGAATACTTTAGGTGAATTTCAATTCTATAGCTGCGGTTTAACGTCAGCATATTTTAACCAGACAGACGGACATAATTAAATCGATCTCAGAAAAATAATCGAGCAATCTGCGCTTGAATCAATCCAGATCGGTTTCAATTGTACGGCAAGTACGGTTTGGATTGAATCAAGTACACAATTGTTGAATCGAGCCAGAATCAGCCAACTACAAAAGTTTTGATTTTAGCGCAATATAAGCCTTTTTGGGATCAAAGTGATCTCTCAGCACGTATTTGGTTTAAGCATTTTTTATGTCAAATCTTTTTTCAAGACTTATAAACTTGATTTAAGTTCGATTTCGTAATTATTTCGAGCATAATGAACATTATTAAAGCCCAAAATCGTACAAAAAAAAAATAAATAAATAAATCTCAAATGTATCCAAAAACGAATTTGTTTCGTGAATGTTGAACTTAATTTAATCATAAAATTAATTTAATTTTTGTATTTAAAAATATTTATCTAAATATTGTACAAAAGAATCATTTATTATTTCTTAATAAAGAAACAAAATATTTTTTATTTTAATATTCATTCAATTCATTGAATATAACATAAAGTAACAAAAATATCAATTATTTTTAATAAACATATTTAAATAATATTGATATACAATAAGAGGATAACTAACGTTTAGTTCTAATGTGTTCTAACAAGGGAATTGGTATAAGGTATATTATTAACAGTCTTAGTGTTTGAAGTCTTTTTTACATTTGAAACAGATATACATTTATACATACATTATCTCAATTGTTTAAATAATTTATAACCGATAAAATATTAGATGAATAAGAATCAAATTTAGTATTAATTTCAAAAAAATATTTTTGAATAAACAACCAGGATGGTTCACATGCTCTTGGGTATTTTAATGAAAGTACTTGATAGATCTTAAAACAAACATCGAGACTTTGCATAAACGAATCAAATTTAAGTAAATTTTTGTCAAAATATATATAAAATCCTTTTACATCAGTTCCACTACCTTCCACAATTAAAAATGGCCGTACTGTTAAACCTGCTGAGTAATATTTATTTTTTATATCCTCCACTCTCCTTTTATAATCATTAAGTGTTGATAGTTGAAGGATAAAACTCTCCTCCGAGTCTGCTATGGTGATCTTTTTCGTTTTTTTCCCGTCGTTATTTTTAAAACGGGCGGTAGATTGAAATATTGAATTCAGCGATAATGTAATTATAAAATCTTGATAATCTGAAAATATTAAATTTTTATTAACTTTAGTTTAAGAAAAAATATAACATTGAATTTACCTATATTTTTACTTTCTTTCGCTTTTTTCACTAGTTGTTTTGACACTTCATTAACTAAGTGTTTTTCATAGTATCCAAAAATTTTGCTTTTGAAGTGTGTCCATTTGGAAAACAGCATTAATTTTTTTCCAGTGTATAAAAAATCGAAATCAATGTTTATCTGTAAAAAATTATTATTATTAGTCATTATCAAAAATAAGAAAAAAAAATTACCAAATATGAAGCTTTCGTATGGTTTAGTTTGGGCCATGATTTTAGAAAATCTATGATATTTTGATTCTTTAATTCCCGGCGACGCATTTTAAATGTCATTTTCCATTTCTCACAAACGTCTGCCCAATCTAATAAATCTCTATTTAAAGATACTTTAGAAGTTGTAGCAACAGATTCATCTATCTCTTCATCGATATCTAAATGCTCAGATGTGCTTTCCATTTCATCTTGACTAGACACTGAGGAATCCAATTTCACACGTTTACGACGAAGGTTTTGGTATTTATAGTACAACCTTCCACTTGGATTGCCTTTACTGCATCTTGAAATAAAATAATAATTCTTAAAATTTAAAGAAAAATTTTAACAATATGTCTAAAACTTTATAATTAAATTTCAAAAACTTTTAGTTACTTGAACATCCTTTTCTGATGGAAATATCGAGACTATTTCATCAACCAATAGCGGAAATTCTCGAACTCTTATTATAATTTGCCTACACATAGCTTCTTCGACTATTATTTGTATAAGTAAATTCCTTTGATCGATAGTCAGCTTTTTTGTTCTGCATTCTAACATCGCCCTTCCGCCTACCGTTTCTTTTAAAATATCCATCAAACTCTGAACGATAATAATTACGCTTAAGAATAATAATTATGATGCAATAAAATTAGTTTTACCTTATTCAAAACTCTTCTGCCACTGAAACCACCTTCCTCAGATATCCCATTGTCGACCTTTGACGCGACTGAAATCGTTTCGTCATCAACTTCGAACTGTATTAAATTGGATTATACAAAATTATGTGATCAAGTATTTAACACATACTATCATGATATATGTATATACCTGAAGTTTTTTCCACTGAAAGAGCTTCTCCCGAAATTCAATTCGGAGGCCAAGAGGTGGTATGGCTTCTTTCAAGTCCCCTCTTTGTAAGTATTTTAAACTTCTGTAAGTTACTTTAGCAGCTATAGAAACAAATAAAACAATATTAAAAGAATTATACAACTTTTTTAAGAAATTCTCTTAAAATTTATATGAAATCGTTGAGTATAAATCCATCAAAATATTGAAAACATATGGAAATTTACAAATAAAAAATCTTTTAGAAATTTTTTGATACAAGAAAAAATCGCATTTCCATCCCTGATGTATATACACCAAAAGCCGTTACTACTTATTTTTAAACAACATAGAATATGTTAAAGGTTTTCAAACAAGGAATTTGTTGCAGCATTTCTGTGCAACTGACTGACAACTTGTTTAAGTTATGTGTTTATATGAGAACGATCACAATCAATATGTCAAACTTGTGCACGAAGCACAACTTTAGCGTACGAGAAAGAGGAGAAAGAGAAAAAAACTCTCAGCTGGGTTACCCTAATGCATATACATACCGTTATATGTATCGTTACACAAAGTCACACCAAAAGAAATTATTCCAAAATGTATTCTATATAAAATTACTCACCTTTTAGGTGTTGATACACCTCCTCTAAATTAAAGCTTTGCAGAAGCACTTGTAAACGGTAATCGTCATCATCATGTTGATCATTCATAATTATTAATCAATTTACACAATACAACGAATTATATACAACACTATAAATTCTTTAAAATACAACAATGAGACACGCAAACTCAACGAATGCATAAAACAGACTGGTGTATTTCATTCCTTGACTTAATTTCAATATTACAAACAGCTTCAAATGATTATGAGAGCAGATGAGATATTTTTCACTTCACTCATTTTCTCTCAGAGATTGATTTAACTCTTTTTTTGCTTAATTCAAGCAAAATACTTGTTACTTTTTGTTTAATTCTATTTTGTTCTCAAGTATATTTTTGTGCGTTAAGCACCCAGCAATTCAGTTGGACAGTCCCAAACTACCTATTTAACCTACCACTTAGTGTTACCCCTAGCCACTTAGAGTTATAGCTAGCCCAAATGACTAGCTATTCGGACAAAAAGCTTAAGTTTGTTTTTTAAGTGTTTACTCACTCTCTTACAAAGATGACACTAGGTTAGATTAATAGGAGGATGTATACTACATCAAATCCGAAGACATAAACCTTTGCCACTATCGGGCCTGTTGTGTGCTCCTTTTCATAAAAAAAATTATTCCTTGAATGTATAAATTTTCAATATTCAGAAACTCTGTTATGGATACACAATCTATGGACAATAGTAAACTCCCGTTTGCTTGTTGAGTTGTATGTATTATTGTTATTTAATGAACATCTGGTGTCAACATAAATACATTGTCAGCATAAATAAATTCAAATATGAAAACAACTCATATTTCTTTTCAAATGTAAAACTGTCAGACTTTTAGTTGACAAACAAAACGAAATAATTTAAGTTAGTTGTTTAAGAACATCACGACAATAAAGTCGAAATAATAAATAAACGGTTTTTTATTTAATTACTCAGTTTCCTAGACGAAATTCCTATGAGCTCTCCAATCAGTGTTAGTCAGGAGTGTATTTTTCCGGAATAACATCACTTCCAAGATACTTAGATCTAACTTTTACGAATGCCTGACAGTGGTAAAGAAAGTCCTACGGAGTTTCACTGTCCTCTCCACAAGAATCCTCACGTCCAATTTTGTGTAGATATGCTGGTAATCCTGTGTGTCCACTCACCTCAGACTTACTCATTTTGAGGAGATTTCTCGTCTTGCTCTCGTCAGGGTCACCCCATAGAATATTTGTGGTTCTACCCACCCTTTCATTATTCCAAGAGGCCTTATGGAATGATCTCACCCATAATTTTAATTCAGCTTTTGTAGCTATTACATTCGCCCTTTCGTTGCCGACTACTACCGAGTGCCCTGGTACCCATATGATGTAAATCTTACCTCTGGGAGAATAATCAGTTTAAGCTTTCTTACATTCCAATACGATATTAGATTTAATTCTATCACCTGATATCGCCCTAATTGCTTTCTGGCTGTAGTTAAATATACTAAGGTCTGTGGGCGCCATATTTATTCTAATCCAATTTACACATTCCGTTATTGCTCGGACTTCTACCTGGAAGCTTGTGTTATGATTAGGTAAACGGTGATATATTTCTGTGTCTTCAATATAGAACCCCAGGCTCACTTTATCCCCCAATTTAGAGTCATCCGTGTAACAACGGATTCCTACTGATATATGCTCTAGTTTTCCGCTTGACCAAGACAATCTATCTGGGATCAGAGTTTCAAAATTTCCGACATATTATGAGTCTGGTATGCGATCAGACACGTCCGATGATTGTGCATAACCTTCCAGTGTGCCCAGTATACATTGATGACGTGTCCTATAACCGCTTTTGTCCAGTTCGCCTAAAATAAAAAGCCGTTCGGCTGTAAGCGCAGCCTCATATCTTAAATATGTTTCAATGGGTGGAATATCTAGCAACGTTTCTAGAGCCTTGGTTAAAGTAGTACACATGGCACCATTTATACCCAAGCAGCATGTACGCTAAACTCTCTGTAGTAGTTTGATATTGCACTTTTTGTCTAAAGCAGTCCACCAGATTATTGAAGCATAAGCTAGAATTGGTCTAATTACACTTTTATAAAGCCAAGGACTAAGACCTCATTTCATGCCTATAGATCTCCTACATATCGCCCAGCACCGATGTGCCTTGTTGATCCTATCCTCTATGTGGAGTCTCCATTTTAATTTCCGGTCGAGGATTACACCTAAGTACTTAACTTTGTCTGTCACTGGTATCTTCTTGCCCAGGAAGCAAGGTTCAGTATACGTAGAAGTTTTTGTCTTTCTTGTGAAAAGACAGATTTCCGTTTTTGCCGGCTTAACATTGAGGCCCCTCGGTTGAGCCCAGCTAATTTGGATCCTTTCCCTTTAAAAGTATTACGACATCGTCTGCATAGCAGACAGGTCTAAGTCCTTTCTCGGTTAGGGTCTTTAGGAAGCTATTAATCGTGGTAACCCAGAGTAAAGGTGACAAAATGCCACCCTGTGGTATACCGCGAAATACCTTTTTCCTGATAGTTATATCGTACATCTCGCAGCTTATCCATCTGTTCCTTAGCATGTGGTTGATCCAGTTACGGGGCACCCGGTCAACATAAAACTGGTCTAGGGATTGGATAAGAGTATCAGTGTGCACGTTATTGAAGGCACCGCCAATATATATAGTTTGCTATCAAAGGATGCACCTATGTAGTGGACAACTTCGTTTAAAGCGGTTTCCACCAATCGTCCCTTTACGTAAGCATGCTGCTTAAATTTTAGGTCTTTGTCGGGTATACTGCTTTTAACCATACTATCGACTATCCGTTCCAAGGTTTTAAGTGGGAAGGACGTAAGACTTATCGGTCGATAAGACTTAGGTGTCGAATAGCAAGGTTTCCCTGGTTTTGGTATAAATATTACCCTTGCATCCTGCCATTTAATGGGGGTATATGTGAATTTCAAGCATGCAGTGAATATCTGAGATAGATGTACGGAAACCAGTCCCGCCTCCATCTGTAAGAGTGCCGGGAAAATCCCACCCGACCCTGCAGCTTTATAGGGAGAGAAGCTCTTGATTGCCCCTTTAACCATATCAGATGTAATTACAATTTCCGTGTTAGCCTCCAATATCGGTTCATCTATGTTATTCGAAATGCCTGGTGGGAAATGAGAGTCCATTGGGAGTTTCATTGTCTCCTCCATATCCTCCAGCCTCCTGCCCGTATCATCGACCATAGATTCCGGTTGGACATGAGTTTTGGATAGGAATTTTTTTATCTTCGATACGTCATTTACGCTGTCTACCTGTTCACAGAAAAGTTTCCAGGACGAACAATTTTCTTATATTCACCAAGTTTACTACGACACTAATCCCAGTATACTGCGGTCTTTTTACGCCGTGCCCGGCTTTATTACCTAAGTTCGATGTGATCAAGTCTTTAGTATTAAGAAAATTCATAAGGGCTTGTCCTCTGCGATTGGTGTTTGTACTACGCCAGGCTATATTGTTGGAGTTGGCATCACAACCAATTACAATTTTCTTATTTTTCCTTTGTGCCTCTTGAACCAGTTTCATCAGATCCGATGTTGGTGGTAATGTCGGAGAATCGAAAGGCAGGTAAACAGACGCAAGGTATATATTGCCACGATCTTGCTTCAGTACCGCTGCATCCGATGTGGATAATCCTGTTGGGAGGAGAAAACATAAGTTCTTGTGACATAAAATACATGTTCTCGTGCGAGACCCTGTATCAGCGTAGAAAAGTTGGAAATTTACGTGATTTAATCCAGAAACCTTGTTGCGAATCGTCCAAGGTTCCTGGATTAAAGCTATATATATATACCTCTCGCTCCGATGGAGGTTTATTTGTAGTGGTCATCCATTAAACTGTCTTCCAGCGAGTTGGTTTTTAACCTCCTCACCCTTTGGATTTAACTCCTCCGGGTAGCCTGAAGTGGCTATTAATGCAGTGGGTACTATTGATGGCACTGCGGTGTCCTTATCAGGCGTAATAATATCAGTCTTTTTCCAATTTAGGAAGACACTGCTGTTCTTTCTTCTAGCGAGTGAGTGATTTTCTCCTCGCTTTTAGGATTTGACTCCAGTACTAACTAATGATGCTTTGGGTACCGTCTTTGGTGTTTTAGTTTCCTAGTCTGGGCCGTTTTTGACAGCCCTTTCAATCGGCGCCTTCCCAATTTTGGAAAGGGCAGCTGCACTTTCTTTTGGCGAGTTAGCGGTAACATCCCCGCTTTTAGGATTTGACTACTCAACGTTATCTGTAGTGGCAACTGATACTGTGGTCTTAGGTTTTTTAGTGTCTTTTTCGAGGCTTGATGTATCAGCCCTTCCAATCGCACCTTCCAAATTTTGAATATGACAGCTTTAGAGGCGAAGTAAGCCCTACCTTTATTATTGGCAAGACTAGCCATGGAGTTCTATTGTCGGATTACCGGCATCGTCCCGGTGCCTTCTTCGATTCCCATTACATATACTTATTTTGTAGACCGATTTTGGTTCATATAGAACTTGTTTATATCGATTTTTATTATTTTATTAGCGTTAAAATATTTTTTTGAAGATGGCCTTATATGGGCGGTAAGGTGAGTTACCGACATTCACTGTATTTGGTAGAAAGGTTTTGGCTCATAAGGAACTTATTTGTGTCGTGCTTTCAACAGATGGTCGGACATGACAGATACTTGTGGTAAAATGTAAACTATATCTCTGGAGAAAAAATCTTGCGTATGACGCATGGAAAGCTAATCAATTTATTCCATTTTTGTTTAAACTGCTCAAAAGTTCTTTATTTTTTTTTTTTTTTTGCCTCTCATTACCTTTGCTCTAACCGAACATATTGAGGCTTATTTATTTTTGTCAATGAGTTCGAAATAATTTGCGATTAATGCATCATACAGAACTTTTCCTGTTAAATGACCATGAAGAGAAACTACTTCAAACATTTTTCCAAACACTCTAGATTTGAGAAATTAAAAAATATTTGCAATTAATTTGCATTTCTTTTGCTGACATTTTAATAAATTTACTAATATCTTCCGTTCTTTTTGTTATAGTACGAGGAGATATTGGTAGTAGCCTTAGAGTTAATTTTTATACCCACCATCAAAAAAGATGGGGGGTATATTGTTTTTGTCATTCCGTTTGTAACA